AGCCCCCACCAGCCCTGGCAGAGCACAGGGACCGGAGCAGGGGAGCTGCTCCCATGGGGACGGCATCTTTGCTGTCAATTGAGCTGGCTGCCGAAGTGAGGGGATGGAAGGAGGTGCACAGGAAGTGAGACCATACGGCCATAAATCCTGTCGAGTCTAACAATGTTTTTTCAAGCATATTTTCCTGACTTCCCTCCCAAGGGATCAAACCCAAAAGATGGTTATGTCTGATCTTTAGGTAACCCAGAAACAAAATGTTTCCCAAACAAATAATCACATTGCAGTCTGACAATGTTCATTACTACAAAAGAGCATTTTATTTCCATTTTTTCTGGGTGTACTGTATTGCAACGTAACACTATGCAGGTCTACTATCATATTAAGATTCTTGCTACAGAATTAAGAAGTTTGTCCATTTGGTCAAATCTCAAAGTTTTTCCTTGGCATTCTTACAGGACTTGTCACTACTTAAGCACATGAATTAGTGGAAGTGCCAGAAATACGATATGAGACTTGGAGCAGGCACTTTCCAATCAGAATTTGCAAAAGTTGTTGGGCTGGCTAGATGCAGGAGGTCAGCACAAATATCCATCCTAATTTTGACAAAGGGGGAGAAGATGCATGTCTCCAGATTTTGATCACAAGGTAGATTTGCTTTTCAGGCTTAAGGTACTATTAAGGTTGTCATCTTATTTTTGATACACTCCCTGTCATCTCTGCTTATGTTACTAAGGAAGATCTGTATTATTTTTGAGCAATAATGTAAAATGCCTTGCTTATATTCTGGAATTGTCTTACTTGTTAGGCACCTGATTAATGTAAGTAGTTATATAAACTCATACAAACCATGCCTAAAGTATTATCCACAAAATGTCCATCCATTCTAAGTCAAATACTATAGGTCACAGAAAAGTCTAGTATGCATCGCATGTGAGTATACATATGAGTAGTACATGAATCACTGAGTAAATATGGCACTTTTACATATTTTCCTGGATGTCATACAGAATTAGGAAACAATCTTCTCCTAGCTGACGCATTTCTAAAATACTGTAATATGGTTTTGGAAAATACACCCACAGACTAGACAGTAAGAAGTTTAGAAAAGTCAACAGTGCAGCTACCTGAGTTTGTTTCATTAGATTTAAGCAATTAACGGTAATGTGATGTTTTATCATTCACTGTGAGCCTGAGGGTTGTCTACCCATGCTGCCTAACCCTGCTATAGAAAAAACAGCACAGCCCTCCAAGCACTTGGCTCAGCAAGATGATGAACTGACCTAGCAGCTCAGCACCTCCAAAGTGACTTGTCCTACCTTCTCCTTGCCGAGACCCTGGCTGCAGAGTCCTGTCCCCTTGCTACTGCCACCCTAGTGTCCATCCAATCCTTTGGAGAGCTGAGCCAGCAGAAAATTAGTCCCTTTTTTTCTCACCGGCTTAGTTTTCTGCTGGCTTAGAAAGTTGATTTGTCCTGTGGAGGGATCAGACCAGCACCAGCTCAGTAAAGGTACAAGAGAAGTAGCTGGAATGTGTTGGCAGGAATGGGGAGCAGGGGAGGAGGGCACTGCCTTTTTGGTGGCAGAGAGCTGTTAGATTGACTAAACTGTCTCAGCAGACCAAACCCTTGGACAAGATACAGTTATTAGTGTGAAAGTGCTCAGACCAGTATAATTTATTCCTATGAAAGTGAATAAAGATATACCAGCACAAGGCACTCTTTACTCATGTAACTGTGTCCACATGAGGGGCTGCACTGGTATACGTATAATCAGTAACAAACATAACTCCCACATCCCCTAAGTGATGTATTTACAAGAGTGACGTAGAGCAAGTCTCCAGCCTTCAGTTATGAGGTGTGCATAACTTCCGTTCAGAAAACAGACCACAAACTACACATGAAACAACATTAGACACAAAATAAATTAGGGATTTTAAATGCTACATCTAGGAATATAAAGACTTTTTAAAAAAACTTTAAATGTAATCCCATATTTCAAATCTAAGTAAGAGAACTATACCGCTCCACTGATTACTTGGACATTTTAAACAGTTTACATTCATCAGGGACAACAGCACTTTGGTTTACATAATTAGGTTAATATGAGCAATGAAACATTTCTCTCCCTCACATTACATCAAAGTGAAATACATTTAGAATATATATATACTGCCAAGCTGTTCCAATAAGTGCATTCCATACATGGAGTAAGAGTAGCTCTTGCAACAGCTACATCAGTTATAGGTCTTTAATAGAACTGAATCAAACCCCTTTAAAAAAGCTTGCTTTGATTCCTTCACGCCTGACCCACTTTTGATTAATTACATGGATCTTCTCCAGAACATAGCCAAGCGCAAAAAACGTCTGACTGGGTACTGTGGCAAGCCCACATACCAGATTGCATAGCACGCCCTGGATTAATAAGGAAATTCTCATTTTAGTTTGTCTCCCCACCTTTACAAGTCAGACTCTTAAAACAACAGTATGATTTTGTACCAAGCTCAAGAACTCAGACTAACTGTAGCTCAAGACACGCAACAGCAGTTCGAAAACGTTTAAGAGCAACCAACCTGACAATCATCAAACAATTACTTTACATAACTTTAAACAATCAGCAACTCAACCTCTGCAATTTATGAACAGCATTGCCTCCTAGAGAAAGAAGTACTTATTCCTAGATATTCTTGTGAAGCATTTATCCAGTGCCTGCATCTGACCCAAATATGTGTTGTTGGATAGGATGAAGCGATCTCCTCCCAGGAAAATATTTTACTATCATATGGTTATTTTTGATTAGCTTAAATTAGCTTGTGAGCAGCACATGACTTATCGTATACCTGCCAAACTTGCCTAAAAGAAAGCAAATGGCTGGATTAAACAACTGAACATGGCTTCAGAGGATGAAGTTCCCAACCTGATGCATAAGTATTACATTATTTTAAAAAGCAGACTTCCAACTCCATGATTTCCAATTTAATTACTAGCCGGGAGATGAAAACATAGCCTTCATCACTGTCCTCTGGTAGGCTGAGACTTTTGAGAAGTTAATGTATTCACTTAATCTCATTTCTGCAAATCTGCACATGTTCCTGTGCTGAGCTTGGTTATATGATATCCAAGCCCAATTAAGGACCGTATTACATGGTATTTCCTTGTCAGAAGGTTTACAAACTAAACATGATTGCACTTTTTCTGGATCCCATTCCTGCAAGGTGCCAAGCACCCCGGTGGGGAATTGAACTGAGGGGGCAGAGGGCACTTTCTCTCTTGCAGGATGGGGTGTTTAGTGGAGGATGGGGATTTTTCAAGATAGTGTTTCATCTCGCTGGGTTGACGATTCCAACGCAGTGAGTTCGTTGCACCCCTTCCATTCAAGTTAGCAGGAAATGGGCCGCCGCATCCCTTTGCACCGTTTGGAAAATCCTCAACTTTGGTCCTGACTCCTCTGTGAACTGTGACCTTACTCTTCCTGCACCAGAGAGGAAATCGCAGTCAGTGCCTCCTGCTCGGCGCAGTGTGTGAACGGAGCGCTAGCCTAAAACTTGCCAAAAGGCCCTGAAGGAGTTTTGCATGCTCCCTCAGACCCATTAAAATACACAAAGAACCTTTCCTATTTGCTTTGACCAACTGAGAAAACCATGTCATAAATAAAAAAGGATGGTCAACCCAGATTTGACCTTGTTAGATGTTGAACACCTTCAACTGCCACTGAAGAAAAGAGGAAACAAGGCATTCAACACCTGCAGCACCACCCGTTGAAGACCACGTCCTAAGGGCTTAACAAGAACCAGGAAGACAATATAATCATCTATTACAAATTATGCAACCCAAAGCATAGAGCTTAAACACAGTTCCCCTGTAGGGATTAGTCAAAGGAAAAAAAAAAAAATCAGCAGATAAAACCATTTACTTTTACCAGTAAAAATTAAGTTACAGACACCCTTGTTCTCAGGGCAAAACAAACTTAAAAAATATCTTAAAACAGTGAAAAAATACAAGAAAATTTTATTTAAAAATATATGTACTCCTTACTCCAAATTTGTTTGTACAGAAAGGATTTGTTTGAAAAAGAAAAAAATAATGACAAACTAAATGCATATTTGGAGTATGCACTTTCTACAGCGTATTTGGTAGAAGCGTTATTTCTGTAAAACTGAGCGAGAGGGAGTTAGTTATTCAGCTTTCATTTGTTCCCTGACATCAGAAGGCAACGTTTCAAACAAGGTGTCCTCTACAGTGAAACCAGTCCGCTTCAGAGCTCTACATTCACCGAGCTCAGGTGGGAGGATTTCAAAGTGATTGCCTTTAATATCCAAGTAGGAGAGGAATACCAAATTACCAATTTTAGGTGAAAGGATTGACAAGTTATTTTTCCCAATTTTCAGGGTCTTAAGCTTTTTGCAAAAGTACAGTTCATCTGGCACACTCTCCACTTTGTTGCAAGTAATGGAAAAGTATTGTAAACTCTGCAGAACTCCTATTTCAGGTGGGATAAAGCGAATGTCATTGTAAGACAAATCCAAATATCTGATTTTGTTGCATAGGAATAGGTGAGATGGAAGAACCTCTATTTTGTTATGGCTGAAGGAAAGCCGCTCGAGACTCGTGAGTTTCTTTATATGCTCTGGGATGTACGTTATACTGTTGTACCACAGCTTTAGGATAGTCAGTTTTCGCAGATGTTGAAAACTTACTATTTCTTCAATGGATTTGAGGTTGTTTTCCTTTAGGTCCAACTCCTGAAGACTGAGAAGGCTGAAGACTGCATGAGGTATGCGCTCTAAATCACAATGAACCAATTCCAGCTGTGTCAGGTTGACCATCTTCTTCAGGTTGTTGAGCATCACTAACTTAGTGCCATCATTATGGATGCACAATTTTTGCAGGTGACTTGATACATCGACTGCAGATTGTGGAATTTTGGACAAATTACTTTTTATGTAAAGAACTTTAAGGCTCTTAAGTTCCCGAAAAGACTCCAGCGTAATGTTTTTGGAAATATCGTGACTTAGGGAGCCAATTAAATAGAGCTCTTCCAAATTCCTGAGGCCATACATCCAGTGTGGAAGTTCTCTGATGTCATCAAACTTGACACTCAAGATCTTGAGATTCTCCTTCAGAAATGCCAAGGCAGCACTGTGGATCTTCACAGAGCACTGGTGCAATGAGAGCTCCTGGAGATTGTCCAACTGTGCAATGGTTGCTGGTATCATTACGTTGTTAATTATTTCAAGTTTTAACGACTGCAGTTCAGTAATTTCAAAAACTGTGTCTGGAAGTCCGGAGAGCATGAAAAGCTGTAGCTCCAAATGGCTATGAGAGTTCGTCTGTAGCCTCTGTCGCAATTTATCTGCAGTCCACTCGTTGTTTAGGTTCAGCTGTTTCAGCTTATTTTCACTGACTTCAGACAGGAAGACAGCAAACCGCTTGGAATAGAGAGGATCATACTGATCGATCATGTGGAGCATAAAAGCAAAGTCATTCTTGACATCTGGGATATCATCAATTCCCGTCTCTTGCCGAACGTATTCAAAAGAATATTCTTTCAGTGAACGGTAGAACAACCAGTATAGTGTATAAAGGCATGTGAGGCCATAGATGCTTACAAAGCACAGGTAGCAGTAAGAAAGTTTAGAGAACAGATGTGCCATCGTGTGATTACAGCAAAAATTCTTATATCCTGTCATGTCTTCAATATCAACGTTACAGACTACTGTAAAATTAACTTCTGAGACAAGTGCTGTGTTGTATGCAATAATAATAAGGAATTTAATTACCTTAAGTACAGTCTGGCGAACGTACATGACATAGAGTATATCACCCTCCTCAACATGCAGTCTAAATTTCTTCACCTTTTCAAACAGTGCTTTGGCCTGTTCACCTTCTTTCTTATCTAATGCCCCAGGTGTTCCCTTATCCACAACCAACTTCTCAGGGATTGATTTTAAAGACTGCGTCTTGACCAAAGTGCCTTCAGTGCTTTGCTGGATAGTATTAGACTTGTTTATGTTGTTCTTCCTGTTATCTTTCTCTTCAGAGTCTTCTCCTGACACTTCGGATAAGGCTCTTGTTGTCCAGGGAGAATCGAAACATTTCCCGAGTATTGAAATGAAATGTTCAATTTTGGAGCTCGATCCAGGGAATTTGAACCAAAAGTTACTACACAGCATGAAGACCAGTGTGTGTATAAGGACAAGGTAAGGGAAGTACTTGGCATACCAGTGCAGGGCACGTTCGTAGCACACTTGATTTATAAAGCTGTATTGCTGAAGGTCCAAATCAGTCTTCAGTCCTTTCATTTCAACCGTAGCTGGAGGGGTGGGTGGCTTGGGTGGAGGAAGGGGTGTTGTATCTGGGATAGTGTTAAACACATTTGAACTATTAGATTGGTTCTGGCAAGGCTGTATGCGCTTTGGAAGGCATATTATCTTGTCTTGCATGACCTGAAACACACAAAAAGATATCTTTTAAACTGATGTACAAACAATGGTGCCAGTACCAATGGGTAGCTGTCCTTGGAGTTCCTCCAGCTGCTAGGCATTCCTCTCCACAGCCTGGTGCTCAACCCCACAGGCTGTGCTGCTATTATTATTATTATTATTATTATTATTATTATTATTATTATTATTCCCAACGAGACACTTGTTCTATATGCCAAAAACTAGGTCACCCCTTTTCATCTATGGTTAGCTTTCCATAATGTGAATAAGAGGGCATTGAGATAATCCAGAAAAAAGAAAAGCGTGAGGAATGCTTCCAGAAAAGACCAGGGATCTCCTGCATTGCTCTCTCGAGACAAACTGTTCTTGCCAGGTGTATTCAGAGACAGTTTCGGCTTGAAAGCAGCATAACTGCATTCATGTGGCTGTACGCTCACACTGTGATGACGCCTTATCACACCAAAAATGGCTGACAAAGAGCTAACGTGGGCATATCTATGCTGGGACGTTATTAATTTTCAGTCTTAGTGAGGAAGGATAGGGATATTGGAGAATTGACAGCGTGTGTGTGTGTGCGAGTACGTGGATGGACATAATTTTTATTCAGTTTCTCATACATATACATAGAGTCCTCATACCACACACCTTGGGGGAAAAAGAGTAGCTCTGTCCTCCTGTCCTTGAGTCTGTCCATAATGCAAAAAAAAAGCAACTTTCTTAATTTGGGCTGGCCACCCATGTGGGCAAACTGAGGTCAGAGCGCCTTTAGGGACCAATCACCTTTGGTTTAACTTGGGATAACAGTTTGAGTTCAGTGCAAGGCTTCCTATAGGTCTGAATTTAAAGTGCTAATCCATGTGATAAACCAAGGAGCTCTGTTACTTGCCCTGAATTACTAACTGGGATTAGCCCAAACTAAGAATGTGTGTGTAGTGTAGATGTATCCTTTGACATCACGGTTGTTGAAAGCACTAAATATAGGGTATGCAAGAAGAGCTACTAAAATCAGATCCTCCTTGATGATCCACCCTTGCGCAGGGAGATGCTGAGATGAGACTACATGTGTTTTGAACAATATCAGGGCCCGTAACTGTTGACGCGTCAAAAACTCCTGCAGTTAATGTTTGTCTGCAAATGCTATTCTGATATACATCGTTACACCCTGGATTCATGCCTCTGGTAATAAGTTGGAATACAAAAAATTGCCTGTTATTTGCAGTGTTTCCATATGTTATTTTCCAGTGTGCTTCATCCAATCAAGCAGGTAAACTTAAAAAAATGTGCTTAAGCAAACAGATACTAATGCAAAACTCAGCCCTATATAAAGAGATTTTTAAACATGGACATCGTATCTTTTCAACAGAAAATACTTGAAAACGGAGAATGCAGGCAAAACTACAGTTGATTTCACGTGAAATCTGGGACATGGTATGTGAAATCTTGGGCCACGTAAGTGAACAAATTCCTCTGAAATAAGAGCTCTGTCAGTGTGTCCCTTTAGCTCCACTTCTAAGTCAGGCCATGAAACGTGAGATCCATGTTTGAACTAGTACTATAACTTTCTATTTTTGTGGAGTCCATCCCAAACAGTACTTTCCATTTCTTTTCAGCTTTTGGCTCTTTAGCAAAGTGTAACTAACAGTGATTGACAGTAATGTCAATCAAAAGGCATAATATTAGTTGTGGGCGGTGTTAATAAAATAAGCACACTCATTTCAAATCTCTTCGAAGCATAAAGACAAAAAGAATATTAGCATTTGCCAAATAAAGAAAAACAGAAATTACAAAATTACATTTTTCAAACTTCTAAACAGAAATAAGGTAACAAATAAGAACTGAAGTCAACCATCTGTTTTGTTATGCCAAACTGTGGTGAAAACAGGCACCCAGGCACAAGCCAAACCAACAGCTCTTATCTTAGCTGGCACCGCTCCATCGACTCTAGTGCAAGTCTGCTGATTTACAGCTGGTAGAAGTCTGGTCTGTGTTATTTGATGTTGCTACCTAAACAGCTTGAATCCTGGGACCAGCAAATTTTTGCTTTGTTCACGGTGAGCCCAAGAGATAAAACAAGACATGACATCATCCTTCCAAGGACCTTCCTTGTTTGTGGTGTTCTTTCAGCACCCGCCTCCCTCGGTCCCGCTTGATTTACCTGTAGCGTGCACCCAAACACACCGATCATCAGCATGGCGACGGAGAGATAGTCCGTGAACACATCCCACCAGGGCTTCAGCACCCTGAACGCCGGCTGCTGCTCCGAGAACTGGCGAAACTCGGTCACTGGAATCATCGTCCTGCAAAAGAACAAGGCCAGCGCTCAGCCTCCTGCAGCCCGCACCCCTCAGTCTGTGCAAGAATGCGCTTCTGTGAGGTTTGAAAAAATCAGATCTGGAAACGAGAAGCCCAAGATGTGGCATACCAGTTCCCAGCTACCGCCCAGGCGGTCCCTCTGACACCCCGCCTCGGAAGAGGGGTGCCTGTGCCGGCCCCCTGCAGCTCCTCTGAGGAAGAGGGAGCAGGACTGGGGTGCCGCCCGTGCAGACAGGCTAATCCCCTCTCTGCATGGACTCCAGCCTCATCCGATGGGGCAGCGAGGCCTTCTGAATCGCTGCAAATCAGCCCATTCTGTAGATACTTGAGACATCCAGCTTTATACACATTAGTCTTGACCTCAAAGGACTGGCTAAAATGCTCGTCCTGCGCTCAGGTTTCACAGGCCCTTTTAGCTATCGTGGTTCATTCACTTCCATTTTATTCATAGTGGTTTCAGGATTGCTTTGGAATATTTGTGTGCATACTCACTGGAGTTTTAAATCTACTATGTTTTGAGTGCAAGTTGCTAAAGTGCTTTAGCTAACCAAAACTACAGGCAGATCAAGGGCTTTATCTTCACCTCAGATGTCTAGGCTTACATCATCACCTCCTCTGAAAAATCAGCTAGCACATGAGCATGTACAGGCAAAGCAACTGATTTAAATCCTACAGCACATTGTGTAACTGAATCCCTGATATCAAACCAGTACCGAAACTCCCCAGTAAGTTACGATGGAAAGATAAATTTGCATGGGAATAGAACAAAAATACTCCCGAGGGCAATTTACAAAATTTGTCCTTTAACTCATACTGTAAATGCTCACCACAATCACTTCATACCTCAGTAATATTTGAAGAGTCTATAATCCTGACTCAGCTGTGCACTGGGACCCATTAGTGGGGGTTTGGTGCCAGGCAGCTGTGCGCAGGCTGAGCGATAAGCACGCGCGCGTGCTGATGCACTGCCCAGGGACTTAAGGGATTCAGTTCATTCAGAGCTGGGGATCCGGCAGGGAAGGATTCGGGCCCTAATGGCTGCAATTTGTCGCACGTGTATGGCCATCCCAAGAATTTATAACTGACTCCCACTACACTGGCTGTACCTCACATGGAAAGACGCTCAGTTTGACACCTTCTCGGGGACTGCTGTGCCTGTGCCCAGACGAGTCTCAGGAGGTACCACCGTCCCCGAAGGCACAAGCTGACTTCTATAAATGAACCTGGGTTAGTAGCTGGGCTGGGGCTTCGCAGCTTTTTGAGTGGGTAGCACAAAAACTTCTTAACCCTTGCTCCCTGCTCCCCTTGCCTCTTGCAACCTTCTGTGTTGCTTTAAGCACTGCTTGGCCAGGCAGGAAAATGTCTCTCTTGGCCTCTTGTCCTTCTGAAAGCCGTCCCTGGGATCCATGCTACAGCGCCAGACGAAATCACACACACCTCTGGCACGGCTGGCAATCCCCAAGAGGAAGGCAGGCTGTCCTCTGCAGCACTTGCAAATTAAGAGATTATCAGTGAAAACAATGACAACACAAGCCTGACATCACACAGCCAGGTCAGAGGCTCAGCAGCGTCCATGCCAACGGGCCTGGATTGTTGCAGTGGTGGGGAAGGAATGCAGCATTCGTTACCAAATTGCATGCAGCCAGGAGCCGCAATTCTGATTTTTACGTGCCTGTCTTGCAAATACTCAGCAAACACACCGGGGAAGATACACCTCTACAGCAGAGAACAGCTCAGGTAGCTGCTGGGACAAACCTGTGTTGCTTTTCACTTTTCTTTTAGAAATTCTGGTGGAAGAAATGGATCTCATAAATTAGAGGTCTCCCATGCAGCTTCAAGTACATACCCAGCCCTCCTTCAGCTGAACTCGGGGCGAGGAAACCCTCCGCTGGCAGCTCCCAGCGGGGCCTGAGCTGAAGAACATCACGCACTGATCTCTCTTCCATACCTGCACACACTTCACTGCCATTGGCAAGGAATTACCCTCCTCTTTTTTATTTCCACATAAAATGTAGGTGACTGGCAATAGCTGCTGCTACGCTTTAAAAAATAATTTTTCTATCAAGCATTGAAAACCATAGAGAATACTTAAAGGAATATACTGATACAAACATGAGCTAACCAGTCGCCGTGCAACAGTCCTGCTCAAAGCTTTGTAACATACAGCACCACCGGCTCAGGTTTGGAGCCAGCTAGCTGACTGGAATGCCATCGGTGCACCCAAGAATACGTATCAACAGATTGCTTTGGAATCACGTGGGTTTGACATTTTCTTTTCTTTCTTGCCCTTTAATAATGGCTTTTGGGTTCTTTTTCATCTTCTGAAGCCGCAGCTTCTAGGGGTCCTATTTGTAAGGTTTTTCCAAAACTATAGACAATTCAAGCGTCAGATAAGACCCAGTCATGTTTCCTACTGTGGAGCCTCTTGAGAAGACACGAGTGCTCATGTGCACCAAAACACACGGAGACCCCATCCTCGCTGGTTAGAGGTCTGAGCAGCTCCACGGATCTGAGCCACGGCGTTAGGAGAGTCAGCAGTGCTGAAACTGGGGCAATGCCTGACAGCAGATGGGACTGGAAACTATCTTGCAAATTACGGTGCAGGGACAGCTTTTGACCAAAAATTAATTTGGCTGTTGCATTCAATAGGTTTCACACTGTATTTTTAGGGGCCTTTGTTGTATTATATATTTGCTTTATTTCTTCTAAGTGATGTGTGGGGAATTTAGAGGAAGGCAGATAGTTTCTGGCACCGCACATACATGCTGCTCTGACCCCTTGTTCCCTTTAGAGGCTGCTGTTCGGTAGCGTGACTCCTCGGCAGCGGAGCGCACATACCGTCAGCCTGGCTAGTGGGCCAGGCGGAGGCAGACCCGCCTGCAGAAAGCCTCCCTGAGCCATGCTCGCAAACCCATCCGTAAGGGTGGAAGGTTTGCAGTCCAACACACCAGAGGTCAAAATCTGTCTGCTACTTATGATTTTCTTTATTGTTAAAAAAGAAGATAAATGTTACCCAATGATGGCAATGGTACTGCACATAATAATCACAAATAAACCAACAATGTCTAATGACAGAGAATTTTTTTTAACTCCAGGAAAAAAGACATTCACAAGAAGCTTTAAATGGAGATTGGATGTGAAGAAGTGGGATAACCACTGTTTTCCAACATCCTCTGAAGAAACCCCATTGTTTCTCCCCTTGCTGCACTAGCAATAAAGAGAAAATGCTGGAAAGACGTGCAGAGAAGCCCAGGCTCACCAGCGCTGCTGGTATCTGCACGCAGAACAGAATGACACGAAATCGCTTTGCATATGTCCCCCTCCTCCCGCTAGCTTCTTTTCCGTCCTGGCCCGTCCAGCGACCGAAAGGACCCCTATGAGCAGTGGCTCTGAGGCCTCAGAAAAGCCACAGCAACCCTGAACCCCTCGCCCGGCCGTGGCCGGGGTCCGGCTCTTCCCCGCTGCTACACCCAGAGCCGCACCACTGCCCGATTCACTTCTAACCACGCACAAGCCAGGTCTGTACACGGTAAAGGCATTCAGTCACTCATGAGTTTAAGCAAATCAAAGCAGGGATGCCAAAAAGTCACACGGCAGCCCAAATCGGAGCGATCTCTGGGACAGCACACCATCTACTGTAGATTCTTGTCTCTTCTTAAAACAAGGACGTAGGAGAAAAGGAGTTCAACATTTCAGCTGGTGAAAACTAAGACGGCATTACTAATTTCAGTTCACCAGCATTCACAGTGCTATTTAATGGCACAATACATTGTAGTCTGACATGTTAAATATGATTCTAATCTACTTTAGGAAATATTGAATTGTAAATACCGGATAATGTTTTCAATTAGAATCAGAACTTGTTCTCTTTTTTCTGTCTTGCATTTCTAATAATCCTCAGTCTCTAGAGAAAAGAAAACTGTACATGAGATAAATCATCTGGTATTCAGCTACCAGAAGGAAATAAAAAAGGAACTTGGTTTAAAAAAAGTTGTACTGGCTGTTAAGCAGTGCTGCAGAAAAGCGCTGAGGGTTTGCCAGATTAAATAAAAACCAGCCAAACAAAAAAGCCCAAAAAACTGAGGGGAGAGAAAGTAGTAGGGTTTTTTTATTATTATTTTTAAGTTTCTAGGAAATACAGAAGAGTTGATGAGTGAAAATGAATACGTGATAGTACGATGAAATACTGGAATCCAGGTACAAGGAAGGTGTGCAAAGAATACCCAATTTTCCCTGCATAGGAAAAGGAAGATCAAATAAGTATCCCAAAGGAACCTGCAAAGACTTGAAGATAATAAACAAAGAGGTATGGCTTAGGCTGGAAACAGAGATGTGGAAAAGAAATTAAAAAGAATATTCAGACTCTTAGCTGATGTAAACAGGAACAGCTTCCAGCAAAATATCAGACATTTACTCCAGCAGAAGCTAACTACAGAAATTAGCTAATGCACGGGCGACTAGGGGCGAGACGTGACGACTTAACGTGACCTAAAAGAGCTAAGGAGAATAAATAGATCCAAGTGAGAGAGAAAAGTATGGGAAACAAATTAGACTTAACAAATCGAGAGATTGAATCAAAAGATGATCGTGAAATGGCCGCACCGTGGAGCAAAGCAGCTTCTCAGCAACTGGCCTTCCTCAGAGGGAATAAAGGAAAGCGGCGGGGACAGTTCGGAAGTAATGACAGCTCTTGCCAGTGCGGCTAAAAACGAGTACGTTTTACAAATCGGGCAATCCGCGTGACGTGCGCTACAGGACATCAAGGAAATTAATTAACTTCCTGCCCGCCGGCAGCTCCGAGGGTGCTCGGGCCGGCGGCCCG